TGTTCAACTCTAAAACACTATTTATGTATGCTAAATATTTTATTGAAGTGTTGGAAAGATTAAGCAGGTCATGTCTGAACAGCATGTTGAACAAGTTAGATCTGGAAAACTATTAAGGCTCCTTGAGATGTTAAAGTTTCAGCCAATTTACATTAAGTTTACAAGAAATGATGCATGTCTGAGTCATCTGAGATTTTACAGATACAATATGAGAGCAAATTTGGTGACATACAAATGGATATGAGAACTAGCAAGGGAGATTGCAGCTTACCTGTTGTCCAGTGCACGTGGAAGTCCTATCTGCAAAAAGCCCCTCTTCCTACATTTTGAAAGATACATTAAGATGAAGATGTTTACATACATAAGAATTTATCTAGAATTCACACTCCACCAAGTTTGCTTTCTACAATGATGTTGTGAACTCTTCTTTAATTGTTACAAGGAGTTTAGAGAAACGTTTTTCTAAAGGAATGGGTAGGGAGGACAGAAGGGAGAAAAAGCCAGACAAATCTGGTACGAGCATAACATCTGCATGGCACTATTTAGGAAGCAGGAAATGCCAGACAGTACCATAAAGAATATTGTATTAAACAGGTTTCTGAAAATCTTGGGACAAAATGGAATGCATCAAGGGAACTCCTGTAAAGCTTCTTTCCCTTATACAGGAAGAAATCGCTGTTTGGTATTAGCTAGCCTAGGAGGGATAGATCTACATCAACATCAACTCTCACAAATATATTACTCTCTAAGTGATGAATTATACAAGGCATATCTCAAGGGGCATAGATGTGAGATAGACAGGCTATGAATGTTCAACAGTCTGGTTCAAATAAAGATATAAGGATACTAGAGCTTATCTCAACTATTTAAGGATTCCTTTTTAACTTCTCCCTCCCATATTCAAATCCAGTTCTCCAACCCCAGTCTAGCTAGTTTTTCCTCTCTTCTTAATTCTTTTCTCTACAGACAGATATTTGAAACTCAGTTCGCATGGCCCAGTCCTTACTGAACTAAGCTACTAAAGAATATGTTGCTCTATACCAAGCTAAGCCCATCTGAGAATTAATTGAAGCACTCATGGAAAACTGAAAAATAAAAGATAAAGACAGACTATACACTGCTAGTCACAAGCACCCAGAAACTCTCACTGAATGTCTGAGGAGACCCAGACTGTGCCTCTCCAGAAATTAATCACTTCCTCCAAAATATGGGTGCATCATGTAAAGAACACAGCAGCTCCTTTGCACAACATTTTTAAGGATGAGAATTCCAGAGAACAGAAATAAGTGTTATCTCTATCAGCAAATATAGTCTTAGTTATTCACACAGTGATTTTCTGAGTTAGAATGCAGCCAATACTATAGAATTGCATACACATCTGTGAGCAGGTAAGACCAAAGTACTTGATTGCACTCTTTTGTGCTGTCCTGAAAGTGTGCACTAGGCATTGGACTGCTTGGTCCCCTTGAGCCAGGACTCTCTCAAGCATTCACACTGAAGTTACTCCATTCTAGTGGAATATTGAACCAGAGAAAGAAATCAAGCCTGTGGGAGGCTCTTCTGGGAGAGCCTCGGTCCTCTTCCTTCTCCCATGGGGAGGTAGTGAGCATGCGTATGCGTGCCGCATAGCAAAGAAAGCCCTAGCCAGCTGTCAGCTGAGCCTGCTTCGGAGGTGGAAATGTTGGAGTCGTAGTATAGAGTATTGCATACAAGATAATTAGACTAGCAGATAGAGCTAACTAGCTAGGGCCCAATTCATTCTCATGATGATCTATGGCTTTCAGGAACTCATGATTCTACATAGCTCTGGATATACAAGCTGGATACATCTCTTTGCTCTTTTCTGCTGGGTCCCCAGAGATAAACTAACCTGAAGAACACAGCATATTGCAAGATTTAGTCCTCTGTTACTAGTAATGCTGCTTGTGATTTTTCAAGTAGGACAGATTGTATCACCCATTGAAGTCTGGGGAAGTATGTCCCTCGCCCACCTTCTCTTTTTTTTTTTTCTTTTTTTTCTCTCTTTTCTTTTGCAAGGTTCTGCAAGATTTTCTATTTTGCTGGTATGGATTTAGGCAATTATTTAGCAAGAAACTAATATTATTAACAGATTTTGGCCTTGTCATATAAGAAATTATTGGCCACAGAAACAAGTCTTGCATCCATCATTCAGCAAGAAGAAACTCTTCCAGAGATCCAATTGGTGTGAAAGATAAAATTCAGAGAGAAAAAATTAATCTGAAAATTGTGAGAACATGCTCACCCCTGCTGAACGATGAATGAGATGACTATTCCTTTGTAACTGTGAACCTATGATTCACTGAAGAGCATCCCATATCACCTCTGCCACACAACTGAAACTTGTAACACCTGAACAGACTCTGAAACCAGTCATAGGAGTTAATCACGCTGTGGTGGGATATGCCACTCCTCAGAGGCTTTGCTGGAGACAAAGAATGCTTTCAGTCACACAGCTGTCAGGATGAAACCCAGCTAGAAACTTCCTCTCTTGGAATGCAAGTACACTTCATTACTTGGTGTGAAAGGACGTATATCATTTAACCCATATTGTACTCGTGTTATTGATCATCTCACAGACACAGTGGATTTTACACACCCCAAGAATCCATTTCATCATCCCTGAAGAATGAGAGATTCCCAGCAGATGGCCAATTACTGGGTGGAAAATAAGGAATACTCTGAATTTCAACTTATGAGACTGGTCCTCAACAGTTTCTTACAGTGTACTCCAAAAGAAGAATTGATTTACTTATACTTCACTTGGTGCCTTTGTTATGGGCAGATATTACCGTGTTCTGGGCTGTGTAATTCAATTAGAATACAGCAAGATCAACACCTTAAGATAATTTTTGCCTTGTATACTGCTTGCTATTACAAATTCTTCAACGCATTCTACACAGAACTACTACTTTGCAAATCATGGTCACTTTTGCATGGCATGCAGTGCTATATTGGAAACAACAACTATGTAGCTATAATTTTGTTGTAAATTCTTTTGACCAGAGTGGTAATGTAGGACAGAAGTCATTGAAAAAAAAGGGTTACAACATTTGAAACATGAGTACGAGGGCTGGTCTAAACACAAGCTTTTTTTTGGCTGAGATTATTTTAACATCATTAATTAATCATTTTTGCACCTGCTCAGAACCATAAAATACATAATGCCATCTTCTTTCAAGTGTGGTAGTAGAGTACAGAGGTATAGAATATAACTCCTGATATATCTTTGGCCACTGAAATATCAATTCTAAAGAGAAAAAAAAAATCTCAAGCAAAACATACTTGTAGTCCTTCAGATGACTGCTAAGTTCGCTCACGTGTGCAGGTTTAGCCATGCAACAGTGACCACACAAATAACACATAGAATACCCTCATGAATTTGAGAACCACAAGACAAACTATTGGAAGCTGGGAAAACAGAGGAGAGTTCCACAAAAGGCTCACATGGTGATGATTCCTCCTGATTTTTGGGGGGCAAAGCTGAGCTAGTCTGGACACGTAGACAAATCACAGCACTGGCCTTAGACATTCTTTTGTACAAGCAGAAACTCAAATTCACCAGAAGCTTTAGTACCAGTTAAGGCTTCCATATTCCCCACTGCTAAGAAGTCTCAGAATGAAACTATATAAGGGTCCTGAGCTACAGTATGATCCTGTGTATCTTTCTGTATTGTCCCCAGTTCCTGAATGTTAAAAGTGGAGTTATACTCCTGGAGGAGGAAAAGTTAGTTCTCGATTTTTCGATATTGGTGGAAAAAAAATACTTTTTCCCAAGACAAAATCTGTGCAGGAATTTGTGCAGGAAGCAGCACAAACAACCAACTAGAGAAACCACTGAAAATGACAAACGCAAACAAGAGAGAAGCATTAATTCTTGGCAGCTTGAACCCTCCCACTATTTTGAGGATCTGAATGCTACCTATCAACCAGTCTGAGATTTTGTGAAGAGAACAGCAGTGACTAACAACACAAACCAAATGGCATTCAGCTGTATCTGTCAAAGACTTCAAACTTAACTTTAAAACAAAAGGAGAGAAGGATACAAAGTAAAATTTTAAAAATGTGGTCTGTTCCATGCTTCGAAATTTAAAATCAAGTTCTATTTCCTCCTTTTGATTATAAAGTTTAGCTTTCTTCAGGACCCACAAGATATCCAGGACACTTATAAAGGTAGGAATATCTCCATTAAACCAGTATGCCTCACAAAACTACGTTACCTTTTCTCCCTGCTTATATCCTCAAACCCAACGCATTCTAGTGGGAGGGTGAGGAAACTCCAAAGTCTCAAGAATTTTCATAAACCTCAGCTTGCTTTCTCTGTTAAAAAAGACACTAGAATTTGCATCTCTGGCAATTGTAATGAGGCAGAAAGAAGTGCAAAAAGCAGAGAAAATATGAACTTGGGGAGAATTCAGAACACTGCTTTAAGACATATTCTCAAGTTAGAAACAAGTCAGAGAAACAACGTGAGCTGTGATACAGAGAACACATTTCTACCCAGCAGTTAAGGCTCTGTTGTCTCAATCAGTAATGATTTGCACGTAATCACCACCTACTTACACGTTCCAGATAAACAGAAATTCACTTCTGAAATTTATTCTTTAATTTACCATCAAACACATTTGTTTAATTATTCACAAAAGCTTTTGAAATTGAATCAGGATCCATTTGTGGGGTTTATAAATAAATTCCAATTTCCAAGTGAACAAACACGTTTTTCACAGTATCCACCTTAGTCCAATCATATCTTTCCTCTGCATGTGCCTACATGATGAGTGAAGGAAAGGAATAAACAATCATTCCAAGTGCTTGGCAACGAATTCTCTCTATTATTGTCAAGAAATTGCACATCAGATGAGAAGCTGCAGAGCTTAATTAAAAGGAAACACAGTTACAGTTTGTTACTTTCTTCTTAAGTTATGATTTATTTTAAACTTGTAGAAATCCTCAACATCCTCTTAAAGGAAATAAAGATCTCAGAAGTGCAAACAGATTATAGAAAGTACCAAAATGGCATTCAAGGATTGCTTGGTTTAAATATCCCCCTGTATTTCTGCACAGTCACTCTACTGTTTGGACTCCCTTGAGACTATTATTGGTGTTAGCTTTAGTGGAGGCATTTTTTTTAAAGGAGAAAACCTGCGGCAGGTCTATAAATATAAGTGCTTGCTTTTAAAAACAAAGAAAGACTGGGAGGGAGAAAAAGAACTAAAGAAAAAAAAAAAACAAAACAGCAAGCAAACAAGAGAGTTATGATATCAGGTTTCTTTGTGTCTATTTTCATTCTGAAATGCAAATGAAGGCTGAAGCCAACACTCCAGCATACTGCAATACAAAGATGCTTGTATATGTATTGAGATTTTTATGATTTGAAATACAGATCTTTTTGTTACGTATCTCTCTACATACTGCATGTAAAATCAGCAACTTTATGGATCACCCATCGCATAGTTGAAGAACACGGCCTCCTTGAAGATCTTCAACCTGATGGGATTTATCTAAAAAAGAGGATAAAACTGATCAGCACTTTGAAGACAAAGGGAATTCCAGACATCAACAAAATCACTACTGCTGCTACTGAGTACACTTCAGAAAAGAACGTCAAAGTTTGCTTTCTCTCTGGTGTGAGGGAGTAGGTATTTACGTATTTATCCTTACAGATTCTGCTTTACACAGGTAGGTACCTACTGATGATAAAAATAGGCGCCTCTTTTCAAGTGACTGTTCAGGGGTGTGATGTTGTGTGAATGGAAAAATTCTCTTACACAGCTGAGAAATAAATCTAAATTTGGAAGGAATGTGAGCTTTCAGAAGTGGCCCTATTCCTCTCAACATTTCCAGAAACAGCTGCAGTAAATGTCTTTTATAAATCTCATTTGGAGATGCTTGACTCTCTTTGTCCACTCTTTAGGGAAATCTGGGTGAGGTTTTGGCTTCTGCTCGGGCAGCCAGAAGGCTGACACACCTAATTATTAAGCATTCAAGTGCTTTACAAGGTCTAGTCTGAAAAGTAAATTCCTCAAAAACTATGTCAGTGATTGAAAGGTCTCAGCGGGACTATTCTTGGACTCAAATTTGTGAATAAGATTAGGTATTTTGAATTCAAAATATTTAAATCTCTGAATGAGAGATTTCCTGTTGCTAAATGATCACTGATTGCCACAGAGACATTAATATACACTGTTGTCTTTCTACACGTCTACTATTTATAACTAAGCAAATGGAGACTGCTGCCATGTTATTTGCACATCATGATAAACTCCTTTTCAATCCTCCCAAACTGGCCACTGAGGATTTGAGGCAATGGCAGAACAAGTTTTCTGTGCCTTTTTCATAGCTCTGTAATCTAAACTCTGCCCCCCAAGAAAGTTTTCACAAGATATGAAAGATTGATAAGTTAGGAAAATATGAATTTAAACAAGAATTTGTTGACGTTTTGCTGGATCACTTTCCTTGTTCTTTCCCAAACAAATGTAGGAAAGACATGAATGTTTTTTCACAGGGAGAAGCAAGCAAGGAAAATCAATCCTACATGTCCAGGGCATGAAAAATGAAAATCTTTATCACATTTAATATGCATTACATTTGTTTCCTGAATTAGGAGACCATTTTGAAACAGTGTTATTTTACCAAATTATTAAATTATTCTTTGATTCTTGGTATCTTGAAAATGGAATGAAAAGTTCACGCTTTGAGCTCTTTTCAGATCTGTATAGATGAGAAGTGCACCGAAGAAATTAAGCCTCTTTACTTCTGCCAGTGACTCAATATATAGAAAAATAAGTATTTCCTCTACATCACTGCACTGTTGCATTTTCTTGCAGTCAGAAACAGTGTTTAGAGCTGTGGGATGCATGGAAAGCACCCTGTTTTGCCTAGGAATTATCAGATAGAAAGGAGCAATGCAGAGGTGGGGAACTGAGCAAGAAAGGATTGAAATAAACTGGCAATTAAATGAAGCAGGAAAAGCAATTGTAATTAAGGAAAGCCAACTTAAAATGCGATTCCGGGTGAACGTTTCAAAAGGTGTTTTTACTGGCCAGCCTACAAAGAAGTGGAAGTGACTTGAATTTATGAAAGACATTCAGTTCTCTCAAGGTCTCTGTCACACTGGAATCTATAAAGCCAGAATAATGATTCTAACTGTAACAGAAACATGATTATTGATGTTGTTTTGGTTTGTGTGTGTGTGTGTGTGTGTGTGTGTATGTCTAAGACCTAAAACTTGCATCTTTGTGCAGCGCCTCCTCTACAGAACCCACTGAGGAAACTGACATCACATTATTTTACCTTTTCTACTTCCCCTTTCTATAGTGCCACAAAAGCCATTTCCCATGCATTACCAGTAATCTCACCTCTTCCATCATAGAAAACTACCCCTTGTTCTTCACTGGTTTTAACAAGTAGGTGTCTCACTTTTTTTCAGTCCATAATTAGGTTTTATAAAATTCTTGTTAAACCAATTTTTCTCTAGCAGGATGTTAGGTCAAAAGTTCAGTCCATTCAAATTTCCTTTAAACGATCATTTAGAATTTTAAATTGAAATGGTGTTTGAAAGTGAGCTAGGATATTTTCTCATCTTCTTATGCAGTAAGCAGCCTCACTTTGCCATGCGGTAATTGTCAGGGTCTCTCTAAAGACTGAAAGCACAGAGTTGAAGGTGTTGAATACAGAGATGTTCTGTCACATTCTCTCTTGAATGAAGGTTTCTGTGTCATTGTACAGTTACTGGCTCATGATACTGGCTCATCAACCATCTATTTCATAATCCAGGCAGCTTCCATTATTTCTAACTGCTGCTTAGAAACTATTGATGACTGGGCATTTTGTTCAGACAGAAGTGCTTAGGACAACGAGAAATTCCCAAATAAAGAAAACTGTTTCTCTGTTAAAGACTCTCAGAAACACAACTCTTACTGTCTTTCATACCGCCTAGTACAAGAAATGTTTGCCTGTACTTCCACTCATTTGGCAAAGGGATAATTCATTTTTATTCTGCTGAACTTAATGGACTAATAATAATTACACCAAGAGCACAAAAAGAATTCAACAGAAGTTGAATTAACTTGCTTTTCAGAGAAATTTTCTATCCAGTCTGTTGCCCTTTTATCTCATTGCTTAAAAAAAAAAAAAATAATAATAAAAAAAAAAAAAAAAAAAAAAAAATTTAAAAAAAAAAATATATTTTCTCCTCCCCTTTTTTTTTTTTTTTTTTTTTCTAAATAAATTTCTTCCTGGCCCCTGTATACATGACTGCATAGGATGAAATAAGATTGGACTCCCATTAATAAAGTAGGAACCACGTCCAACATCAATTTTTAGAATGACAGTCTTTTCCTTACTGCACTGCACTTCACAGCAAACAATTTTCTAGCCCTTGTGTAGAATACAACCATAGTGAGGATTTACATCTGCCAATGACATATTTTTTCTACATACTTAGCAGATTATAAGATGTGTGCTCCCAAAGAAACAGTTACTGTCAGATTTTCCACCACCAATGAGATCATAACTAGAACTAAAGAAATTCTTCTTCCACTGCCTATAACATTCTTTAATATTATTTGATCTCTTTCTCAGTTCTCTAGGCTTAGGACACAAAAACTAAGCACAAATTATCTACTTTTCACAGCACTTTAAGCAAAGTGTTCATCATCCCTCCCAACTTACAAGTCAGAACACTCTATTTTAGACAGCTTTGCGATTCTGACCTAGAAATTGTACTGACTGTGCGTTTATAAGGAAATGCACTCACATTTACATTCTCATTTATGCATATTCAGATCTTAATGGAAGAAATTATTAGATTAAGCATAAAGTGAAGCAGTTTAAATCAGTGCTGATGTTTGTATTGAGCCTAATGGTTTCTCCTTCAGAGAGTCAGCCTGGATACAAACCAAACGCAAACCAAGTGATGCCACTGAAACAGGCTTAGTCATTGGAAGAGATGGAATTAAAATATTTAGCCAGCAATTCATTCTTATTACTTTGGCCTTAGGAAGTCACCGATATCTTGCTACAATTAGAAATAAATTGGTCAGTGTCACAAAACTCTTTTACAGTTCTCATTGTGACGGCACTTTTAAGAAGAGGAGAATCAATACAGCGGTGGATATACAGAATATTGAAATATTCTTCTTTTCCAACACCAATAGCTTATTTAGTACGTTTATGATACACATTGTTTTGGACATATGCAGATGTGTACACTTCAAAACTGAGCCAAAAAACATACACTGCGTTACTAAGAGGATTTGAGGATGCACTGTGGTGTCCATAGGAATTTTGCATGGCTTTTGCACGATTAACTCCATGGTAATTATGGTATGGTATTATTTGTACAGGTCTGCAAAGATCAGGAGTTTATAAACAACGTTATATAAATAAGCACTAATGAAGGACTACTTTGACAATCTCCATGCACATTTACTGTACATTCTGTACTGTCTACATTCAGTAAAGACCTGAATTATTTCGATGACCAATATCACAACCACTGTTTTTAAAAAACAAATACCTGAGGAGTTAAGCTGGTACTTTCACCGTAAGAAATCTTTGGAGTTTGCTACTATTTTTTCTAAATAACAACAGAGTCAGTAATGATTCAAAACTTTAGTATTTCCCTACTGATGCCCCTGATGGCCTTTCAAATGTTCACTTCAAGAATAGCAAATAGGTTGAGAAAAATTTAAGCTTAAACCCAATTTAATCAAGTTTCACAGGTAAATCCAATGCGTGCTCCTGTTCTGTCACGCTTTGGTGATCTCAGAAATAAAGTGGTTACCATACAGAACAACTCCTTTTTAATACATAAAATCATCCTATTTCTTGAATTCCAGAGCCAAAGCTTCATGTGGTTTTAATCATTAAACACTGAAGTTACCCAGAAGAGCGAAAGCAGCAAAGCTACTGCTTCAAAGCAGCTTTCACAGCCTACACAGCCATATTTCTGCTTTTCTATTATGTACATTTAGCATTGCTGTATTTGACTAAATAACCCTTGTCAATGATGTTTACATGTTCATTTCCCAGAAAAGTATTAAAGTCACAAGTTTAGTCATAGCAGCTATTACATTCTCCTCGCTTTCAATAAAGTGAATCGAAGTGGTTATAAGAACATATTAACAGCAATAAAACAAGAGCTAATGCATAACACTTTCTTCAGTAATTTTGGCAGTAGAACTCTAAGGAGTGTTAGGCTGTATTAATTTGAACTTATCAAACAGTATCAATGACAATAATCTCTATTTATGTGCTTGATTTCAAGGCTCTGTATTTCTCCTTCAGACTACTTTATAGTACCTTAAGCATTATTTCAACATTGCTTGGTGCAAACTGGATGCATAATGTATTGCTCCTGGGTCTTGATATGTAGATGCTGATTTTCAGTCCACCATTAATTATATCTGCTGATCTGGGAAAAAATATTATGTTATCTCACAAAATTTGTTCAGCTTTAATTGCCACTGAATTAAATGTTAAAGCAAGGGAATCATTTTTCATAAATCCAATACTACTAACAGCAGTTACTCTAATTGTCTTTCTACATAACAAGAAGAAAATTTCTTTGCAAAAGCAATTAAATCTCCCCTGATGTTTACAAATCAAACATTGTAGAGCTGGCTGAGAATTAAATTGGCTAAAATTCAGTAAATACAAAATGAATCTGGGCTATTTTCATTGTGCTAAGCAAAATGCAAAAGCAAATAAGCAGAGGCAACTGCAAAAAGGCAAGAATGTTCTTCCTCCCAGTATACTTTCTGATACCCAGTACTTAAAAATTGGTATCTACTGTATAGGTGCAGACTCTTCAGTTTTATAGAACCACTGAATCACTGATCACTGAATCACATCATTAAGGTACCTAAGATAATGTAGTCCAACCATCCACTACCGACAAAATTGTCCATGAAACTCACATAAATACAAAATACATACAAAGTGGACAGCAATCCTGTATTTTTAGTCACAGGCACCATTAAGTATGCACCATTAATTATGTGATAATATGTTTCATGTATGAAATGCCATTAATATGTGATACTCAGTATGTACTTACCTAAAATTCACACTGATGGTATCACCATATTATCAGCAAGGATGGAAAAAGCCAGGCATTACAGCCTTCAGGATGCGTCTGAGGAAGAAAACCCTTTGAAAATAAGCAGTTAGAAGAGATTATTATATATTGCAGAGCCTTTCTGCAAAAGCAGTTTAATTAATGAACCCAGCATCACTGCTTTGCTTCCAGGGCCACAGGATGAAAAAAAGCAGAAATCAACATTATTAGTTACCCTCAGCAGGTTACATGAAGAAACAAAAGTCATGTCAAGACTGGTGTTTAATCAGCTTGAGAGACTAAAGAGAAAAGTCAGAGGCAGTGAAGAGCAAAGTTTATTGAAGACCATTTGACCTAAAGAAGAGCACTGAGAAGGCAAAAATAAGAACAAACCAATTCTCTCTGAGAGGTCCATCTGTATGAGCCCTCAAACTGCAAACACATCCTTGCTAGGATGCACATGCACAAGCCCTAGGGTACAACAGTCCTTTGGCCACATTAGCAGTGCTCGGCAGATCTGAAGCTGTGGGGAAGCTCAGGTAAGATTTTAGTCACTTGCTTCAATCTGCACTGTCCTGGCTGTACTCCCATCAGTTCCCAAACCACATCTTGTACGCCTGACTTACTAATACCTATTTTTTTTTTATTTTTATTTATTTTTTTTTTTTACTATTCTTCATGTAATAGTAACGTCTTGATCTTTTCTGTCATGCTGTATATCTATTGCACAAGCACCTGGAATAAAACACCTGGATTTTGCAAAAATGAAGAGATGTAGATTCTTTGCAAGGAGGTTCAGAAAGTCCAACTCATTTTCTGATGTACTCATCAACATTGTATTTCACTACTGCAGCTACAGAGCAGCTGGTGAGCGTAAACTTGGCAATGCCTTCTAGCAGACAAAATGACATTCAAATGGGGAATCCAAGCAGTTTGCCAGGACTCTTGAATTTAGGCTTGTGTATGTCTTGGAAAATAACAGCATTTTTCCTATTCTGTAGTTCAGATAAACGCTCCCCCCTCCCGACAGTCCGAGTCAGTTTGCCTTTTCTTTTGTAATTACAAGAAAAAATAGTACATGGTAAAAAGGTAGATTTAATTCCTTCTAGACTGTGAAATAGCACATCAAGTATCTGTAATAATTGGTAGTAGACAGTTTATAAAGATCAACCAAGATTTTAGCACTGCTTCTATGAAAGCCACCAGGGGAAAGCAAAATAAACAAATCACCCATGCAAACAATATTAATAACTCATTCCTACTAAGGAGAAGTTAGCCTCACACCTGACAAAGTACTCATTTTGCCTTGGAAGCAAAGATAATGCTTCACTGAACAAGACATTGAGTAAAATGAAATAACTGAATGGACTTGAAATATAATGGTAGAAACAGGAGAAAAATATTACGTTTGGAAAGAAGAAACAGAACATAAATGTTACTGTGTACATTTTTGGTTTAGCAGTTCCTATGGAAAAAAAAATTCCAAACCCTAAAAAAAAAAAAAAAGAAAATCAGAGAAAACAATTTAGACAAAGGTTTGATCTAAGGCACAGATATAGCTACATGCATACCAGAATCTTCTTGCCAGTTAGTTACCAATGATAAAAAAAGAAATGCACATTGCTGTTTGTCCTTTGTGGGATTCAGTTTCCTTCCTAGAAGACTGTTCTTTGCTTACAGTTGTAAAATATTACATGCAGCTGTACTAAAACACAAGGCACAGACCAATGATGTGCACTAGACTGCTGTGTATAACTGAACTGTCTGGTCGTTTTAATCACTGCACCATGTTTTACATAAATATTTTTTTACTTTCTTATTGAGAGTAAATGGAAGACATTTAAAAGCAAGTGGAGCAAGAAAACAGAGACTCCTCTAGACACGTTTCCATTAGCTAATTCTTCCTACTTTCCTGTTAGTTTTCCCTATCTCCCTATTAGTCAAATTTTGTTTAATTTCCCAGTGCAAAACGGACAGAGCATGTACAATTTTATTTAGAATACCCATAATATACAAGTAACATGCACGTGTTGCATTTAAGAGTGCAATCTCTTCATATTCTCTTCATGCTCCTAATATTTGCTGAAGTGATTCCCACAGGTTCTCAACTTCGTATGCTTTTATTCTGTTCCTGCTATTGCCAAAAGTTATAACACCAGCTTCTAATATGAGATCAGGTGGTCAGACTGTGATCTCCCTCAGCAAACCCAGCACATATCTATGGAAGATGTGGCAGATTCTTCACTTTAAAAGCCAATGGGTGGCAAAGGAATAGGGAAATCAACACTGGCATCTTACTGAAATATCACAATAGATAGAAATAGACTGAAAACAATTTCAAAACACTTTTTGGCTCTTCTACACTTCCAGGCCTTCAGCAAGTTCTCAATTAAATTGCCTTTATCTAATGTCTGTGGGAAAGTAATATGGATCAATTTCTTCCTTCCAGCTATTCGAGCAAGACTACCTAGTTCATATAATTCGTCTATTCAACTGCAAGAGATTATTTAACTAAAACTTTTCCTCTCTGAGTGACTTTTATGTTTCAGATCCCCTCCCCTTCCTTCCTCTTTTCTTATTTGTTCTCTAATTGTTTCATTCACTGAAAATTTCTTGCAAGAAATGTCAAACTTAATATGTTATGCATTTGAGGATATAGTTCAGATGGTTTGTTTTACACTGTGTGGTCATGTTTAATATGACCTCACAAAGAACTCTCTTATCTTGCACAAAGAGCCCTCAGATTTTGGACTTCCCATTTGTTCAACTGAAGATTTCTGTGGTTTGAAAAGCTGGACGGAAACAACCAAGCAGAAGTAAGTTAAATCATGCAAGAAAAGTTTGCTTCCACTGTATAGGAATCCAAAGCTACAAAGAAAAAACCATGAGGTCTCCTGTGAAGAGTCTGCCTTGCTGCAGCGACCAAAGGCATTTTAGATCTAACAGATGAAAAGATCAATAATCTTGAAAACCTGGCACTTAGTTCCAGTCAACCCGCTCATGCCACCACACCTAGAACTTATGCTTTTGTTTGATTCAAATGCTTAACAGAAGCTTATAAATATTTACAACAGACAGAACAATATTGACACACCCGAGAGGCAATGACTTTCTCTGTGATTTCCATGTAGAGATGCAGGAGATATGTAGTGGTCAGAAATATATAACTGCAATCTTTCCAATCTGAGAACAAACAAGTCCCTTCCCATTGGAGGGGGTGGGGTGGGGGGAACAGAGGGAGGGGAAAGAGCAAAGTATTAAATAACGGCAGACAATAATCTAAAGAATCATAGAGCCACCAAGGTTGGAAAAGACCTCCAAGATCATCCTGTCCAACTGTCCACCTACCACCAATATTTCCCACACTAAATCATGCCCCTTAGTACCACACCTAAACATTTCTTTAGCACTCCAGGGATGGTGGCCCAACCACCTCCCTGGGCAACCCATTCCAGTGCCTGATTGCTCTTTCAGAGAAGAAACATTTCCTAAAATGCAACCTGAACCTCCCCTGGTGAAGCTTGAGGCTGTTTCCTCTAGTCCTATCAAAGGAAGATCTAAAACTCAAAAATTTTTCTTATTTTATTGTGTTTATGTATGAGAGAGCTGTTTGTTATATTAGGTGCAAAAGAAGAAAGCAGCACAAGTTTTTGACCTTCAGTGGTCTGGGACCATACTACTTGTACTACACTGCCTTTCACTACGCCTCCTTCCTCCTACATGCTACCTTGAAAGCACTGTATCTTCTAATCACATTTTACTGTTTGTTCGGGGAAAACACGTTATATTTCTTCAACAGAAAACTACTGCTGAAGTGATTCCTAGATAGAAATAACCAGTGAAAAGTGTCACTGACTTTGTCAGGTCTGACTAAATGGGATTAGATGACTAAGGAGCTGACAAAGGAAAAATAAACTTTTTGCTGAACTTTCATTTCTGTGGTACAATGTATGTTACCTCCTGTAACCACAATTTGCTTTGTCTTTGTGTTTAAATTGCCCAATATTAGCCAGATTCTATTGTTTTTTGCACTTTCGCAACTATGAACTGCTTGTCTAAAAATATACTGAGCTATAGAACCTGAAGAATTATAGTCCCGGAGAGGAACACGCTGTAAATTTCGGACAATAGATCAGAACTTCTTTGCTCCAGTAATATTAAAAAAAAATTCCACAATTATTACATTTTTTTACAAAACTCTACACAGAAACCACTGAGCCAAGTTGAGAAATGTAAACGTGTAATCAGTGTTTACTGAGTCTGTATGACTAGTGAGAAAATGTACAAAATTAGGATATGCTTTACAATCCAGTTAATAATATTCAAAATATTATTCAGTAGTATCTAACAGTATTCCAAGAAGATTCTATAAAAACTATTAGAGCTACCAAAAAGCAACAGCCTAGGCATGCCAATATACAAAGTCTCCATACAAAACACTTGAAAATAAACAGTAGTGTAAACTAGCTATATATTAAGACTTGAAGTTGTCTTAAAGCCTCCATTTAGCAACTAGGAAGTCTGGAAACTGAAAAACATTCACTTCTGGTCCTAATTTATTGCTGAATCTTGAGATATTCCAGGCTGATCTTGGCCTGGCTACTAGTGGGAGCTAACACTAACTTATAGGTTTTATTGTGTCTTCTACTGCACTGGGCATGTCTACATTGTCAGTTTCTTCCACAGATTCTTGTCTTTACCTTGCACATTGCACGCATTTGTTCTCTCACTTCTGGGATGCCCTTCAAAGTAGGACAAATATGTTTATGCCCATAAAGAATTCTATTCAGTAGGCAGTAGGAGTGATGGAGTGATAATACGCCTTGCTGCACCTCACCAGTTCCATTCCCAACTATTAAGACATCACATCCTGTGATTTTCCCTTTCTGCTATATCTATCCATGCACATGCACCATTCCATTAAGAAAGTACATATAAGTGGTAGAAAACTGACATTTTAGTTATCTTTTTTTTTTTTTTTTTTTTTTTTTTTTTTTTTTTTGTGAAGAAATACGAATGGTTACTTGAGGAACCTTTACAAATGTTAAAATGTCTCAGAATCAAAAGTATACCAGAATGATCCAAAGATCTTC